TCCTCCTCCTCCTCCTCCTCCTCCTCCTCCTCCTCCTCCTCCTCCTCCTCTTCCTCCTCCTACACTTCCTCCTCCTCCTACGCCTCGGCCCTCCGCAAAAGGTTTTTTTTTTTTTTCTTCTTCTACTTATGTTTCTAATACTTTCCGACTACAGGAATGCATGTGTAATCCCCCACACAAGGAAATCCTTTGTAACCCTCCATAATTAAAAAAAGGAATCCCTCTGTAAAAGGTTACGAACGGATTTTTTTTGGTGGAGGCTTACGAACATATTCCTCATGTCGCTGCAATGTTCCACCTGAAGATAATGTTTGCTATCCTTGCCTTCGGTGTGTTTTACATGTGTTTCCTGTGTGTCTTGTTTCCCCTCGTCTCGTCCTCCTTGTTCGGAGGGGCGAGCGCCTTTCCTGCGGGGCGGTTACAGAAGGACTCCTTTGGTGGCGGATTAGAGAAGGATTCCGTTTCGGCGGATTACAACGGGAATCCTTTTGTGGCGCATTCCAGAAGGATTCTTTTTGTGGCATTTGACAAGCATAATGCAATTGTATGGATTTTCACTAGGATTTCTTTTGTGGCGGAGTACACCAGGATTCTTTCTGTGGAGCCTTACATTAGGATTCCTTTTGTGGCGGATTACATAACGACCCTATTTGCTGCGGATTACGACAGAGTCTCTGTTGTGCGGGGTCCAACGGAATTCCTTTTGACGCGGAATACACAAGGATTCCTGTTGATCCTCCCCCTCCTCCTCCTCCTCCTTATCCTCCTCCTCCTCCTCCTCCTCCTCCTCTCCGTCCTCCCCCTCATCCCTCCCGCCCCCGCTCCCTCGTCCTCCTCTTACTGCTACTCCCACATCATCCCTTCCCCCGTTCCTCATTCTTTCTCCTCCCCCCTCCCTCTCTCCTCCCTCTCTCCCTCTCCTCCTCCTCCTGCACCTCTTCATCCTCCTCCACATACACCTTCTCCTCCTCCGACGCCTCCTCCTCCTCCTCCTCCGCCTCTTCCCCCTCATCCTCTTCCTCCTCCCAATCCTCCCCTCATCCTCGTCATTCTCCTCCCCTCCCCCTCCTCCTCCTCCTCCTCCTCCTCCTCCTGCTTCTCCTTCGCCTCGTCCTTCTCCTTGTACCACCCCCCGCCCCCTTCACATCCTCCTTTCGTTTTCCTTGGAGGATCGGGAGGGCTGAAGGAGCAGGATGAGGATAAGGAGGGGAAGGTGGAAGGACGAGGGGGAAGGGGGTGAGGAAGATGAGCAGGAGCAGGAGCAGGAGGAGGATGAGGAGGAGGAGGAGGAGGAAGAGAACGAGAAAGAGGGGGAGATGGAGGAATGGGAGAGGGAGGATGATGACGAGGAGGAGGAGGAGGAGGACGAGAGAGAAGGAGGAAGAGGCAACGGAGGAGGGGGAGATGAGGAGGAGGAGGAGGAGGGAGGAGGAGGAGGAGGAGGAGGAGGAGGAGGAGGAGGAGGAGGAGGAGGATGGAGGAGGAGGAGGAGGAGGAGGAGGAGGAGGGGAGGAGGAGGAGGAGGAGGAGGAGGAGGAGGAGGAGGAGGAGGAGGAGGAGGAGGAGGAGGAGGAGGGAGGAGGAGGATGAGGAGGAGGAGGAGGAGGAGAGAGGAGGAGGAGGAGGAGAGGAGTAGGAGGAGGAGGAGGAGGTGAGTAGGAGGAGAGAGGAGGAGGAGGAGGAGGAGGAGGAGGAGGAGGAGGAGGAGGAGGAGAGGAGGAGGGGAGGAGGGGAGGGGGAGGGGAGGGGGAGGGGGAGGGAGGAGGGGAGGAGGAGGAGGAGGAGAGGAGAGGAGGAGGAGGAGGAGGAGGAGAGGAGGAGAGGAGAGGAGGAGGAGGAGGAGGAGGAGGAGGAGGAGGAGAGGAGGAGGATGACGAGGAGGAGGAGGAGAGGAGAGGACGAGAGAGAAGGAGGGAGGAGGCAACGGAGGAGGGGGAGATGAGGAGAGAGGAGGAGGAGGAGTAGAGGAGGAGGAGGAGGAGGGAGGAGGAGGAGGAGATGAGGAGGAGGAGGAGGAGGAGGAGGAGGAGGAGGAGGAGGAGAGGAGGAGGAGGGAGGAGGAGGAGGAGGAGGAGGAGGAGGAGGAGGAGGAGAGGAGGAGGAGGAGAGGAGGAGGAGGAGGAGGAGGAGGAGGAGGGAGGAGGAGGAGGGAGGAGAGGAGGAGGAGGAGGAGAGGAGGGAGGAGGAGGAGGAGGAGGAGGAGGAGGAGGAGGAGGAAGAGGAGGAAGAGGAGGAGGAGGAGGAGGAGGAGGAGGGAGGAGGAGGGGAGAGGAGAGGAGGAGGAGGAGGAGGAGGAGGAGGAGGGAGGAGGAGCAGCAGGGGGAGGGGGAAGGAGGGCAGGAACGCGAGGACGAGGCCTATGGGGGCGAATGTGTGAGAGAGAATGACGATGATTTTGAGAGAGAGAGAGAGAGAGAGAGGGCGATAAAGAGAGATCCTGAGAGAGAGAGAGAGAGAATACATAATTATGAAGGAGAACGTGAAGGATAACAATCCTATACATGGGAGAAGCAACCAACAAGAAACGCGACGATGGGAGCCCAAAAACGCACCGCCACAAAAACCTGGACTCGATTTTTCACAGCAAAGTGGCGGTGGATCACGCTCTCTCCCATATTCCAATCTACGTGAAGTGCTTTCCTACTTCAATGATCGAGTGGCTTCACCTTTTCCGTCCTCCTGAGTGGGCGGGCGGGCACCCAATCCATGTTCAACGCCTTCCTACAACATGTTTCTACCTACTTCTTCCGACCGATGGGCACCTGTATGGTTTTGTTGACTCATGTGGACGGGGCTTCGGTCGGGAGGGTGCCTTGCGGCATCATTGATACATGCTGGGTCGAATGTGGTCCTTCTTCGCCCTCCCGCCTCCCTCCGTTCCAACTCTCGCTTTTCTTATCCCTCCTCCGTTCGTTTCTGCGTTTCTCCTTCCTTCCTCCGTCCTTGCTCCGTTCCTCCTCAACCTCCCTCCCCTTTTCTCCTCCCCTCTCCGTGTCCTCTGGCTCCCCTCCCTCTGCCTCCCCTTCTCTTCTTCTTCTTCTTCTTCCCTTTCGTCTTCTCCTCCTCCTTCTTCTGATTCTTCTTCGCCCATGGGCTTAGGATGATGACTGACACCACCGGGGTCATGCTCCGATTGTTGCCGAGGCGAAATATGTCGGCGAAGGGTGTGGACCTGTCCTGTGTTGATCCAGCCTTTTCCCAGATGCTGCTTGGCTTTCCCGCGGAGGTGAAAGATATGGAGCAGGAGGAGGGGGAGGAGTAATTAGGAGGAAGGGAAGGAGGAGCATGAGGGGAGGGAAGGGTGGATGGGGGACTCAGGAGGAGGAGGAGGAGGAGGAGAAGGAGGAGGAGGAGGAGGAGGAGGAGGAGGAGGAGGAGGAGGAGGAGGAGGAGGAGGAGGAGGAGGAGGAGGGAAGAAGCGAATGTGAGGATGATAGCGTGCAGGGGAGGGCCGCCTCCCCCCCTGCTCCCCGTTCCTCCTGCTTTTCTTTCCCTCCTCCCTCTCCCCTCTCCTCTCCCTCCTCCATCCCCCCTCCGTTTTGGGCCCCCCCAGAAGTGATCCAGAGCCCCCCTGGAAGCTTCTTGGACCCATCAGAGGCCGCCCGGAGCCCTTGGAACTAGCCTGGGGGACCGCCGAGGGCCCCCTGCTCGTCCTCGTCCGCTGCCTCCTGCCGTGGTGGGGGCAGCAGAGGAGAAGCAGGCCTGGTCGGGCCCGCGCCCGCCGGGGCACCCTGAGCTCGAGGGTCAGAAGATTCCAGCAGTTGGCCTGCAAATGAGGGATGTTTCAGGGGCTGTTTATGATTGGTGACTTCAAGCAATGTGCGTGCCGCTGCCTGCGCGGATCTTTAGCGCGCAGGTGGCGTGCGAGCTGCAGTATAATGCTCCGCACTTGGTGTCGATCGACTTTCAAAGCCAATTTTTTACGAGGTCGGTAGGCCGCGCTATGCAGTTTTGTAAGCGCCTCACCGTCTCCGAAGGTTCACGTCAGAGGCTGCGCTCTAGGGGTCTTGTGCAAGAAAAGAGGGTCCTCCTGCTGTCGCTTCGTCCCTTCCCCCCTCCCCCCCCTCGCGGCCGTCGGCCTCTCGGGGGCCCTCCCGCGCCCAGGGCTGCGTGAACGGCCTGCTCAGAGGCGTCCGCCTTGTGCTGGGCGACGAAATCTATGCGCATTCACTGCTCCCTGGCCAGGCTTAAGCCGGGCCTGTCCCTCTACAGGAGGAATGATCGAAAATAATATACAAACCTGGGGACGATTTTTGTTTTTTTCTGACTATTTTCTATGTTTCGTCCAAAATCCACCTGTAGGAGGACACGCCCGACCTGAGGCCAGGCCCGTCCTGAACCCAGGAGCCGTGTATACGCCCTCCTGGCCAAGCCAGGAGGGCGTGGCGTATACACCGCTGCTGGATTCAGGCTGGGCCTGGCCAGGGAGCAGCGGATATGTACAGATTTCGGCGCCCTATTGTGGATGCCTGTGCGTAGGCCGTTCGCTTGGCCTTGGCTTGGTACGGCGCCTGCTCGCCCTTGGTCTTCGCGTCGTTGCTGCTTGCTGATGGACCTTGCTCGTACCATTTCGGCACGGGCCGTGCACGGGCTGCGCCCGAATCTCGGGCTATGCCGTTCGTGCCCCACGTGCAGAATGGTGCCGAGCTTACAGATGTGAGAGTGCTGCCCCACCATACTCCGAAATCCGCACCGACGTTGTCTCTTCTGGAGCGCCGCCGCTGCCGCCTCCGCCTCCTTGCCTCTCACATTCCTCGTCCTCGTCCTCGTCCTCGTCCTCGTCGTCGTCGTCGTCGTCGTCGCCGTTCTCCTTCTCCTCCTGCTCCTCATCCTCCTCCCCCTCCCCCTCCTCCTCCTCCTTCCTCCTCCTCCTTCTCCTCCTTCTCCTCCTTCTCCTCTTCCTTCTCCCTCTCCTCCTACTTCCGTCCCCCTTCCCCTCTCCCTACCTCACGCCCTCCTCCACCTCCTCCACCTCGAGTAGGGAACGCTCCGCTGGACAGGACGAGCTCATTGCCGCGGAGGCGTACTACCAGAGGCTGGTACCGCAGTGCATCGACAAGGGCATGACCTTCGACGAGAGGACTAAGGCTGGCCGCGTCGGCGAGGAGGAGGTTCCATTTGGCGGCGCTCGCAAGGGGTTGGCGCGATGGGAGCGGCCTGCTGAGAGGGCGGAGGGGCTTCTCAGAAGGCAGGGGCCTTCCCTCAAGGGAGGAAAACCGCCCACACCCCGACACTTCGCGTTGGTTAGACGGGATTGGTGTGGGCATCGATGGTTGTGGGCATGTGGATTGGCCCCGTGTCGCTACCACGCCAGTGTGGGACGATTTCCAGGACACGTGCGTTCAGCAGTGATACTGCCGGTCCTCCCCTCCACCTCCTCCTCCTCCTCCTCCTCCTCTTCCTCCCATGCAGCATTTCACATTGTTTCACGCGTGTACCTTAGCAGGCGCCTCGGCGCCCCCTCCGCCGCGCCTTTATGGCGCCACGAGTGCGGAGCCGTAGCCGTAGACGGCCCTGGGCGTTTGCTGAACAGCCCTGCCCTGTCCGATTCCTTCCTTGGGGGCATGTACTGAACGGCCTCGCTTGTCGGGGTGACTCTTATGGAGGTGGATTGATTTTCTGCCCTCTGCTCCTGGAAGGCCCCGGGGGCTCCTAAGAGGCCTTCTTCGAAGCCTCCCCGGGGCCTCCCCCGCCCTCCTAGGAGGCCGCCCCCCCGCGCCGCGCGCCATCCCCTTATGCGGCCGCCGCCCATCCGTGGTCGAGGAGAGAGGATCGAGGGCCTGGCATCGACCGTCGAGTAACCACATGATCACTCCAACATCCTCAACTCACCAAATCGAAGAGCAAAAATCGCCATGAACGTAAGCTTGTGGCGCTCCGCGCGGATTTCTTGGATCTGCCCCCGGCACCCCCCGGCGGCGCCTCCCGCGCCGCCCCTGGCGCGCTCCGCGCGCCGGGGTGGGTGGTCCGGCGCGGATCCGAGAAATCCGCGCGGATCTCCAAAAGTTTATGTTTATGCGTTTTTGTTCCGCTAGGCCACTCCCACATTTTCAACTCACCAAGGGCGGGCAGAGGTTGAACCAGCACGAGTTGGTAAGCGTCGATGACGCGCGACCGGCCCGTTGGCTCTCCAACGGCTTCGCAGGACTTCTTCCAGGGGCCCGCTTGTGGCCCTAGCCCCGCAGGCCTTCCGCAGCTTGTTCTACGGCGCCCTGCGTGTCTTGGGACTGTCGTCTCACCGAAATCGGGCAAAGGTTGAACCAGCACAAGATGGTAAGCGTCGATTACGCGAGAGTGGTCCCTTTCACCCCACCCCTCTGACATCCTCGCGCCGCGATAAGAATCGCGGGGGAAGGTTTTTGGCTGTTTTCAGTTTAGGGTAAAGGTTAGAGGTTTTAGCGCGTTTTGGTGGATTCCCAGAGGATCTCCAGCGTCATGATGCTCTCCAGCAGCTGCGCCTCGCTGAGTGCGTTCCAGGGGTGCCCGAGTCGTCCCGAAGGGCCACCTGAGACCAGAATTATGACCCCAAAGCAAGACCTCCTTGCGAAAAATCGTTGCGGGAGTTCTTCCCGACCATCCTGTGGTGTTGGGTCCTCGTTTTGAATCAGCATCTCCCCGCGTCCTCACTCACTGACTCACTCGTCCCCTTCCCGTCCTTCTCCTTCTCCTCCTCCTCCTCTTTCTCCTCCTTCTTCTTCTTCTTCTTTTCCTCCTCCTCCTTCTCCTCATCCCCCTCCCTCCCACTTTGGCCTCTGCTCTCCGCATCGCACCCCTCGCACGTTTCGTGACCCCGTATGGAGCTCCACCGAAAGCCCCTGTGGCAAGGTTCGCATGGCGGCGCCGCCCCATTTCGGCATACTCTTTATGCGTTTCGTGGCCCCATAGTCATAGGGAGCTCCACCGAAGGCCTCCAGTGGCAGAGTTCGCATGGTGCCTCGAGTCAATTTCGGCACACCTTACACGTTCCGTGGCACCGTCGGGATCCTCACCGAAGGCCCTGGTTGCAAAAGTCGCATGGCGCCTCGGGTCCATTTCGGCAAACCCCTCACACCTTTCGTGGTCCCTTGGGGAGCTTCACCGAAGGCCCCCAGTGGCAGAGTTCGCATGGCACCTCGGGTCCATGTCGGTACACCCCTCACACAGTTCGTGGCCCCGTAGGCAGCTTCGCCGAAGGCCCCAGAGGCAGGGTTTGCAAGGCTTCGGGTGCATTTAATCCCCTCAAACATGTCGTGGCCCCGTACGGAGTCCCTACGGGAGTCTTCGCCGAGGGCCCCGATGGCAGGATTCGCATTGCGTCGCCCCAACAGTGCAAGCACCCCAGTCTGTCATTTTGCTCGTCCCCATCCTTCTTCTCAATTGCCTCGCCGTACTCGCAGCTGCATGTGGTTGGGCCCTTCGCCAACATAATTCACAGTTTTCGCCCGCTAGGGTCCTCACTAGTGCCCCGGGGCCACCCAACAACGGCTCATTACGAAAAACGAGATAGTCTGGGAGCCACGG